AATACCATATTGTTGTTAATTAAAGATTTAAAGTAAAATAAATAGAAAACATTAATAAAAGGATGCCATCATAGTCGCCTGCCTGGGTGGTCCACGTCTTGGTTTGCATCTGCTTTGACCCACCTTATTCAGACCCATCTCTCAACGCCATCACCATGACGGTGGCCATGAATTCACCGTCGCTTTACCAATATGCTCTTACTCGCCAATTTGAAGAAGTGCGCTCTGGAATATTTCTGTTTTCCATCCAGGTATCCCCCTGACACATGCCTACATTTCCTATAGGCTGAGATTCAAATACACTCCACAGCGGAGGATTGCAAACTTCCAAACTCTCGGCAAAATTTCCTGAAAATGACTTGACGTAATATGACTCTCCCACTAGAATAGTTTACGATGGGAACCATTTCGTTTCTTTGTATTCCGAACACCCAGTGGTAGCCAGGTCAGAAATTCAAATATCGCTCTCATGTTAAAAAACGCAAGAAGCCTGGCCCCGCCTCAGGATCCCCCTTGAAAGATGAGCTTCTACTTACGCCACTTCCTGCAGATGACAGGAGACACGGGTTATATGGTCACAGAGAAACCTCACAGAGGAGTCGCTCAGGAAGCTCTGACTCATGTCCAGACAGCTCAGATTCCTGTTTGAGCTGACCATGGAGCAGAAATCCATCCAGAGGCGAAGAGAGTGACGGTCACACTCAGAACGTCTAGGAAGGAACAGACAAGAGCACTTACTGTATACATATTGCATATAGCAGATCTCTAGGACTAATTCATCTTGTACAACCGAAACCCTGCCCAATAACTGTAGAGTTTGACATTTATCATAAATCTAAGTGAACAACGCTATGTTTTCAGTGACTTGATCCTTTTAAGGCATGTTGGTTTGGGGAACGTTTCAACCCTTCAACATACACTGGTTTGAAAGGATGTCAGAGTAGACTCGTTCAGTACAGTGTCTGCGGTTAACGCTGTCACATACTCAAACTTGCTGAGACGGTAGATCTATTTTGGGGAGAAAACATGAGAGGGAAGGAGAAAACATTTGGAGGTGGTGGATAGGTTTATGGCAGAGAGGGCGGTTACAGTTTCTTAAGATATACTTACTGCCATACTTATCCAGTTATATACCTTAAATGTGTACAGTTTTTCATTTCAATCATTATTCAATAAAATGGTATAAGATTTAGTGACCTACTGCACAGAATGGTAACTATGGTAATGGATTGTATAAAATTGCCAAGAATAGATATTAAGTATTTTCACCACAAAAGAAATGTGAGGTGAGGGATTTGTTAATTAGCTGGGTTATTCCAAAACATAAATGTATCAAAATGTCACATTATGCCCCATAAAGGCATACAATTTCAGTCAATTAAAAATAAAACACAGGCTAGTTTGCAGTGGCTCATTCCTGTAATCCTAGCACTCTGGGAGGCTGAGGCAGGAAGATCACTTGAGGCCAGGAGTTCGAGACCAGCCTGAGCAAGAGCAAGACTCTGTCTCTACAAAAAATAGAAAAACTAGCCAGGCATCGTGGCATGCACCTGTAGTCCCAGCTACTCAAGAGCCTGAGGCAGGAGGATTGTTTGAGCCTAGAAGTTGGAGGTTGCTGTGAGCTATGATTACGCCCCTGCACTCTAGCCCAGGAGACAGAACAAGACTGTCTCAAAATAAGTCAATAACACAAAATTAAGCCTTTAGGTTCTGAGAAAAGAAAAAAGAGTACATATAGAAAAAAACGTAACGAGTCTGGGTAGGGAGGGAAAATACCTCAGATGATAGAACTCTCTAGGCATACCCAGGCCCATCCCCACAGGAGAACTTTAACACTAAAACAAGGTCTGGCAGGGCGTGGTGGCTCACACACATAATCCCAGTGCTTGGGAGGCCAAGACAGGAGGCTCACTTGAGGCCGGGAGTTTGAGACCACCCTGGGCAATACAGTGAGACCCTCATTTCTACAAAAAGTTGAAAATTAGCCAGGCGTGATGGCGTGTGCCTGAAGTCCCAGCTGCTTCAGAGGCTGGGACAGGAGGATCACTTGAGCCCAGGAGTTCAAGGCTGCAGTGAGCTGTGATCCCAACACTTCACTCTATAGCAAAACGCACTTTTTTAAAAGAGTTAAAAAGTGGAAAACCTTTTTAAATGAAAAAGGTAAAACAGGATCCAAAGACCCCATTCCTAATTACAACATCCTGTCTCCTGTATCTTGAATGTTAAGCAGAAAGAAAGTCCAGCGAGAAGGAAATTCCACCCTAAGCCACAGGGACACAGGACACTCTGGCCTGTCCCTAGCAGAGCACGGGCAGAGGCTGACGACGGGAACTAGGAGAGTAAACCGAGTTCTTACCTCTCAAGCTGAGCGTGTGGTTCCGACGCATGATCATTCTCCAGGAATATCCCCTTTGCCACCTGCAGCCAGATTTTCTCCAGGTTTTGACAATGCTTGAGGCAGAAGAAAGAGTACATCATCTCAAATGTATCTGTCACGTGAACAGAAACTTCCTTGAAGGGGGCCATGGCGTCCTTCACCAGCCCCTCGTCCTGAGACTCGTAGAGGCAGTACAGAAACTCCTTCGTGTCCGTCTCCGAGAAGGGTTTATTCTCATTGAGATTTGCTGTGCATTTGAGTAACTCCTCTCTGATCTTCAGCGACACTCGGCAGCCAAAAGTCGTCTCCAGCTCCTGGGCTCTCTTCTCATTCGAGAGGCCGAATAAGAAGTATCCCACTTGGGTCAGGCCGGGATTCTTCAGTCTCTCCTCCTTGGAGAACAGCTTCTGCACGTCCCCGATGTCCCGCGTGTGGCTCTCCCAGTCACCGTCCTCCTCCTCCTCCCTCTCCAGGATGTAGAACGTGGCAGCCAGGAACTGCTGGACGCTGAGGTGGACGAAGGAGTAGCAGCCTTCGCAGTCCCTGCCCTTCCGGAGGACGCCCTTGTCCAGGAAAGGATGCAGGTCGGCCTCCTGCACCCC